TTTCAAACTTATTGCGCTTCAAAGTTCGATGCTTGTCGAATTTCCGAACTTGACTGACCAAAAAATTCGATGAATTTCGAACTTTCGAACTTATTTATCAAGAGAATTCGAAAAGTTTCGAACTTTCGAATCCTGAAAAGTCAGAATTTCGACGAACTTCGAACTTTTAGGGTAAAAGTTTGACATTCGTCGAACTTCGAAAGACCAGCGGACGGTTTGTGGAGCAATGTGGAGCACAAGTTCGTTTGCTACTTGGGTAGATTTCAAGGCAGCTTGCTTTCCCAGGCGAAAATCAGTCCACTTCCAGCTGGATTATGGAACTGGAAATGAGGCTGTCCAGCTAAATTCCAGCTGGATTTCAGCTGGATCCAGCTAAACTGCCTCATTTGCAGTTCCATAATCCAGCTGGAAGTGGACTGATTTTTGCCTGGGTTGAGGTCTACCCATTATCCTTCAGTCAGGGCCAATGAGAGCTTGGCATTCTGAGGTCACCGCAACCCCCGCCAAAGAAGCAGACAAACTTGCGCTCCGCATATGGATAGCTTGCTATATGGACAACCTATTTTGGTAATGGACTGGGTAAATACATGCATTTGTGCCTCATTACGATGGAGAACTCGCACTACAGGCACTTTTATGGGGGAACGGAGGTGTCCAGATTAATGAGACATCACTACATACGCTTATTGTTGCATTTGCCTTGTGAATAAAACTTGTCTCGGAAGCATTTTTGGGCGCTCAGTGGTTTTTGTACCCCAAATACGAATGGGATGACGTGAACCCCAACATTTCCTATGTCTTTATTTGCTTTATTTTTTTCTCAAAACCGGGATTTGATGTCCATTCCTCAGTTTTAGTAAGATATGAAATCCAGTTTCGGTAGATCCAGTTTCATTTGAATTCAACTAGTGAGGTACATTCGTAGTTTTTTTTTTCTCGAACTTTTACACGCGGTGCTGCGTTCCTTACGAAAGACAACGGCGTTTGTTTCAATGTTCTGGCATGCTTAGTTTTAAAGAAATAAATTTCCGAAGGGGCGAGGAAGGACGACGGGTTTTTGATGATTATCGCTTGTGCCAGATTTGAAGCGCGCTGTAGCCGAAGCTATTTGTGGTAGAGATGTTATACTTTTTTTAAGAATGATCTATGTATAGCCTAGGTAAGTGCCGTCTTAAGATGTGATTATTGTTATTCAACGTGAGTTTCGAAGAAATGTCCAAACATGTATCTACATGCAATTATGCCTTGAACTTGATATTTATTTTTGTCTAAGTTGTTTGAGGTATCGCATTTAAATTAACACCACAGACAGTACATATCATTGCCATCTGCAGAATACAAAATAATGTATTTATTGTTTTTTTCACGTTAAGGAATGAATTAACTCATGGGAGAAGATTTCTAATAGTGTTCAAGTTCAGCACGTCATTAAAAGAAAACTTCTTTTTTTTTTTTTGCTTCACGATTTTGGGACTTGTTTCTTTTAGCCCGTACACATTTTGGTGAAAGAAACTTCTTTCAAAGTTCTGAACCTCTGAATACGCAAGAATACAACACTTCCGGCGAATTCTTGATAGTTTTTTTTTCTCCAACTTATTATCCCCGCATTTATTCCTTTTTTTTTTTTTACTATTGGCACAGGTATTTAGGTCGAAAAGACATAGCTTTGAACTTCCGAACCACTAAGCATGTGACGAGTAGTGCCTTCTGACAACGAGTTTCTCACAATGACCATCTACGCAATCTTTTATGCAGTGAAGAGCGACAGTAGCTATACATATGCATAAATAATTTCAGATTAAAATAAGCTCGACCACGCCCTCTTTTCCCGTATTGTTTTCTTTAACAGTCCGAAATATCTGGAAGGGGGGAAGGGAACTGTAGCGCCCCCCCCCCCCCCCGCTACCCTCTTACCCCCCGTTTTTCCTTTTCCGACGCCACCTGTATGGTAGAACGCTCCTCGACCTCGAGTTGTGTCGGCTTTTTGCGAGGCGATTCCTCCGTCCCAGAAAATAAACCTCCAGGACAATTACAAACTTAACTTACTATATGCCAGCGTCACCCGGGCGGCGTTCGATCAGATTACTACCAGCGTGCAAGGGGTGGCGAGGTAGTTTGCCAGGTCGCTTCAAGGTTTTTCGGAGCCTCAACTGCCTCAACCTCCTGCCCGCCCCTGGCCGTTTTGAACTCGATAGGTTTCGTAAAACAGTGTGTTCGTGTGAGCACTACTGCGTGATGCAGGTCAAAGACTCCCCCCCCCCCTTCCCCACCCCGGGCTGGCGGTCACAATTAGGGGTGTCGCGTACCGGCCGAGGTTCGAGTTCGACCAGGTTCGACTTTTTCGAACTTTTAGTGGAAAATTCGACGAACCTTGTATTGAGGTTCGACTCATGTGCGCATGCGCGACAGGCTGGCCAGTTGGCTTCGGATTGTATGGTAATGGCTAAGGGATAAATTAAGGGCAGCGCCGATTGGTTATTTCACTTAATACAGTACAAAAAAATTAGGTTATTAACCTCTTTAGTGATTAGAATTAGTTTCTTTTAATTGCAACTGTTTATAAAATAAAATAACCCTTTTCTTAAAAAAAAACATTCTCCAAACCTAGACATGCTTGTATCAAGGTCTGGCCACACTGTCCACAAAGTCGAACCGGTCGAATCTGTTGAAACGTTCGAAGGTTCGTCGAACCGGTTCGACCCAGTCGAACCCCGAAAGTTCGACCTAAAAATCTGGTTCGACAAAAGTTTGCGACACCCCTAGTCACAATTACTGATCCATGGTCACACGTCACTCTGCAATAGCAAATATTCCAGCACATCCGGGACACTCGTTGCCTCATTTAATTGCGTGACCAACTTCGCAGAATCTAGATATCACACCCTAACTTTTCTAAACTTGATTTTGTGAAAACCAGTGAGTTGTGAAAACGTTATTTGAAACAAACTGTGGAGGAACTTGAAAACCGTGCTTCGAACTTTGAAAACTTGGACTAGAAACAATTCAAAATCTTCAAAGTTTTTTTTTTCTTTTTTCGAATTTATTGTTAAAAAAGAATCGAAACCTTCGAACTTTTCTAACTTTATGCAGGAAGAAATCGAAAAATTTGAATTGTTCGAACTTCATGTCTATAAAAATTCGAAGCGTTCGAAGTTTTCGAGTTTCATTTCCAAAGAATTTCGAAATCTTCGAATTTATCGAACCTGAAGTAAAAAAATATTCGAAATGTTTGAATCCGAAATTTTAGAAACCGTGAAAGCTTCGAACTTTTCGAATTCGAAACTCCACTGTGATCGAAAGTTGCGAATTTTTCGAATTCGAACCTTGGTCGGTACGAAAATATCGAAATTTTTCGAAATCGAACCTTAGTTCGCTTTGTAAATATCGAAACCTTTCGAAATCGAACTTGGGGTGGTTCGCGACATCCCTAGTCTCAACCCTGTCTCCCAGTGGGTCCGGTGCTGGGATAACGCTGACCAGGGTTGCCAGGTTGGGCTATAAATAGCCAAATTGGGCTAGTTTTATTTGCAGTTGGCGGGAAAAAATGGTAGTTGGCTATTTGGCTAGTATTGGGCTATTTCTAACCTGTGCATTGGGCTATTTCTGACCTGTGCATTGGTCAATTTCTGACCTGTGCTGGAACCAAAATGCCTGAAAGCACTTGGGTTTACAGGTTCGAATGTATTTTTAGAGTAAGTTACGTGAACATTTGGCGCTTCAGTCCCTTAACCCTGATAAGTTTGCGACAGCAAACAAATTCGTATTCTTTTTGCGCGACTTGTGTAACTATTTACCTCCGAATTTTGTCCGAATGCAAGCATGTGCGGTTATTCCTCCATCTCAACAAGTGACGGCGCGATTCCTTGCGGCCTTAACAGCACCTGTTCTGCGCATTCTTTAGGTTGTCTGAATTCTGCATAGTTCTCCCGTGACAACAATCTGGTCACCAAGCGTCCCAATATGAAGGTATGACGTCATGCGCTTGTTAGAGCGTTTCAGGAAGTTCGCCGAACGTGCAAGGGACGCCATTTCTGGGGCATTTGATGAATAAAAATGTATTATGTGTCTTTTCTGCTCAAAATAAACGTTTCAATGATAAGTTTTTTTGGGCTATTTTTGGGCTATTTTTCTGGATCGACATTTGGCTATCTTTGGGCTATATCTCGTAGACGTTTGGCGGGTTGGAGTTCAAACACCTGGCAACCCTGACGCTGACAAGGTTTCAGCCACTGATCTCTATGACAATTGCTGGATCGCGCTTCACCGCTTGTTCGCTGCAGCGCAAGTGAAGCCACCGGGCTTCACTCGCTTGGGATACGATTTGCCGTTTTTGCTAGCCTTTGCTGCGGTTTTCCAGCGTGCTGACGACACGTTTTCTACTCGTTCGTCGTCATTCGCCGAAGAAGTTTTTTGAAGACTCTGTGTATTGTTGAGACTTGCCATTGTGAACACGTGGAAAATTTTACGAAAGTGCAGTGTCGCAGGAAAAAGGCACAACGCGTCGAAAGGAAGGGCTGGCGGCGTGTTCAAAGCTTCCTTGGCACGCCGAAGTGCCGTGTCTCAGCGCCTTCGCACGCTTGGATACCGACCAAGGACCGACGCCGTGTTCTCATTGCCCGATTCTCCGAAGGTCTTCTTTGTGATATCCAACACTGCCTGGTGATAGTAAGGGGAAGAAGAAAAAAAACAAGAGGAATCACGTTTTTGTCTTTTTGGACTGCGGCTAGATGACGCAAGCTACCGCCCGTTACAAAGGGTCTAGCCATTAACATCCATCCACTCCTCCATACCGCAGTAAATTGAAAGAAATCAAGTTAAGATTACAAAAACTAATTGATTATAATAAATTAAAAGTATTCAGGAATAGAGTTCACAAATTCGTTTTAACAAAATAATATCCAAAATTGGGAAATATTTGTAAATGTATTCACTGCCGACTGATTGTTTTCTGGTCGCTGTCTTTGTTGGATAGCTTCTTCGTGGGGATTTTCTGCGGTAAATTTCAAGCACTTCAAGGAGCAAAAGAGGGCGCCGATACGAATGGACTCTGCAAGCAAGCGGTAAGTGCCGATCTCGATAGAGGGAAGAGCGGGGAACTACCGTGGGGGTCAAAAAGATCGATGGCGCTTTGAATAGGCGGCATAAATCGGGTCCTTAGCGTATAAAACGCATGTTTTATACGCTAAGCGAGCGACGAGACAAGTGACGCCGACCCGCTTCCCTGCCGCTCGGTCAGTCGCACGACGAGGCAAACCGCATGAAAGCGACGGGAGTAAGGGAGCAAGCGACCAAGGCGATGAGCTACGTTCCATTTGACCCATGCGGTGGTGTGTTGTCGGTGCGGGTTTGTCGGGGACGATACGGCGCCGGGCTGGTGTGGCGTGTCTGTTGGTGCGAGGAGACAACTTTTCTTGGCAATGCAGTGGAAGGTACAGGCCCGCGTCCCCTCTCCCATTTTGAGTGTACGCAGGCTCTCCTCCTCCCCCATTTCCGGGGAGAGGAGGAGAGCACGCGCACACTCAAAATGGGAGAGGGGACGCGGGCCTGTACCTTCCACTGCATTGCCAAGAAAAGTTGTCGCGGAGTATAGCTACGTCTGGGGCAACATTACTAAAACACTCAGTTGGGAAACTGCCATAGACTGCTCTGAAAATGTGTCCCCGATCTGACCTCTACCACCGAGCTAAATGCGAACGCGAACACAACGCCGCCATTTCTCCCGCAGCGGCCACTCGAGGAACTGCACGTCACGTCTATTTTGGCTTTAATCGGCCATTTAGGGCCGAAACAGATAGAGCGGAAGAGGTTACAGGGGTGCCACCCCCGTCTCCCCAGCGGACGCGCCGCGTCGTACTACCGAAGTTAAAATGCACCTAGGTCGGGACGCGCTACCTGAAAGCACCGCTGAGGCATGGTTGTATAAAAGCAATATTAATTGTGCCACAAAGCCTTGCAAACTAAAGATTTTTAAAATATCACGCGTCCTTCATTTTGTATTAAACTCCAATAAATTTCATACAAAAAGAGTCTTTTTTGTTTGTTTTTATGCAAAAACATACTTTCTAAAAGCTCAAGGTGACCACAGTACAGACAAATGATAAAGTGTGGTGCTGTTGTCGTATTTAGCTGGGTCTCGGTGGACGCCAGCGGCTCAGGTTTCGACGGCGAGTTTCCCAACTGAGTGTTCTAGTAACGTTGGTCTGGGGTGACTAAAGTCTGGTTCATGCATGCCGACCAGCTGCGATACATGAGACAACTTCATGCGACCAGATGAGACGCCAAGCACTGTGCTTAAAGCACAGGCACGAGCAGTGAGTGCCGTGCTTATGTATGTACGTATCAAAAAAAAAAATTTAAATTGTTTGGTGTCTCATTTGGTCGCATGAAGTCATTTTTCCACGTATCAGGGCTAGTCTGTGCTGTGTGAACATGCCTTCGTTTACAGAGTTAAACACGCCACGCATATTGATCATCAGTTTTTGATTTCTCTCTAAAAGGCTCTAATCCAAGTGACTATATAATGCGCTAATGTCTGATTACGTGGTGCAATAACGTTCACAGTGAGAATTGGCACTCCACTACTCACCACCAAGATGCGAAAAGCTCCAATGCCAGTTGCTTTGGCGCACGGTGGATGCCATAAAACCATAAATTGTCAAACACATAATTCATACACTGTTTACAGCAGTGAAATTACAAATTCTCAGTTGATCAATTCAAATGAAAAATTCTCACTCTTTAGGCGTTGTGGCTCCAAAAAGTGATATCGGCAAGGAACAATAAGTCCGACGTATTGCTCTTTCACATTTCTTGCGCATGATGCGTGTTAATCGAATCAAATTGGATCACTTCACTTTCACCATGTACAACTACAGATGAAGCAGCTGTAGAAAAAAGCTGTAGCATTTCAGCCTGACAACTCCACAGACCCTTAATATTAACAGCAAAGCAGCATCATGCTAAACCATTCATAAAGAAGGATAAAGGAAAAAAACATACTCTTAACGGTACATTTCAAAAGCATGCTCACCAGGAAAACAAAGGCATTGGGTGAAAACAACCGCAAGGGAAAAAAACATTGTGAACATGAAAGCTCAGGGTGAACACATTTAGACAAAAATCATAAAACTCATACTTTCTCGGTTTCATACATTGAGTGGAGTTCACTGTGATGGTGCGAGCGAGGTGAATAAATCAAAATGCACAGGCTAATGACTGTTTAATAGAGAGTATTTAAAGTAAGCAATATTTTCCATGGTTCGAGCGAGGTGTAGGCACTATCCCATTTCCTCTATGTCTTGTTGAGTAACTAGTTATATCTTTTGTTTGAAGATGAGCCAGACTACGTATGTTATTGATATTGTTTTGTGTTTCCAATTTATACTGCAAGCTTAATTGATAAGTACGTCATTGTTCATCATAGTCGTGCATGGGCGGTTGGCAAAGCATATAAGCATGGGCTGAACTTCGGACATTGTTTGAGTTGGACTATTCTCATCTTTAATGAGCCCTTTCCCTACCATGGACGACCTGGGTTCGTCCACACTGTTTGTACCGTGTTGTGACTGTAGGCGTCCGAGTGCGACCACATGGTCGCCAGGCAGAAGGAACACAACCACCCCGTGTGACAGCTCGCCAAAAAGTGCTTTTAATCCTAAATCAACAACCGGAAGAAGCTCCGCTTCCGGTAGTCCCGCAGCACAACACATGTGATTCCATCTATTGCCAGGTGTCCTCACTACATACCGCTTCTCCCGAAGACGAGCTGGGCTCGTCCACATTGATTCAGGCTCCAATATGCTTTAATGGACGAACTGGGCTAGTCAACGTGTTTCTAGTGAGCTTTGCCGTGGATAGATGGTGCTTCACGGAAAATAAAAACATAGTATATATCTGAATTTGGCGGAAAATTGTTCCAACGCATGCAATAGGGGATTTAAAAATGGTGGTGTCAACTTCTGGTCGCTACATTTGTAGTGCCGATCTTGCCTCGAAATTGGGTCAGAAACGAAGATATTGTGGTGTCTCTTTAGATTCGGAAGACGAAGAAGTTAATCTTTCATTGGACCGCAAGAGCGATGCATCTGAGTTACTGGATTTTAGCTCAGATGACTCTGATTTCGATGAGAACATTGGGTCGGTGTGTCGGCATTGGACTAAAATCGATGTAGAAAATCCCCCACCAGCCCCTCCACGTTTTGCGCTCACTTTGCGTGCAAGGTGATGTGAGCTGTCTGCAGTACTTTTACGCTCAGCCTGAACGTCCATGTGCAAGGCGATGTGAACTGTCCGTGATAACGCAGTGATGCCGAACTTTGGTCCCCTTTTCTTTTGCAGTGTTTTTAAAGATCTCTCATATAATAATTTTTTGGGCATTTGTTTTTGGCCTTTGTATTGCATATTGAATTGTTCCCGAAAAAAACCCAATTTAGTGATATTTTTGAAAATTCCCACTGTGCGAATGCTCGTAATGTTGAGCATGAAGCAACACTCTGAACATATTTTGTAAAGAGGAACATGGTAGCCTTCCTCTATGGGTGGATCCAAGGGTCCCATAGTTCAGTCCAATTTATCTAGAAAAATAAAGTACTCTCTGCAAGACAAATTTAGCAAATAGGTAGGGTAAACTAATGGTTTCCAGTAGCATAGTTATCTCAGATATTATCTTTTGCCAGTCTCCCCTTTACCTGACATGAATTTTACTGCCATGTGGCAGAAAACAAGAAAATGGATTGTGTTAGCATGCCCAAGCTACCACCCATTGCTAGATGCAGAGCATTCCATTTTTTCATTTATTTGTCATTGTTATCTCAAAATGGCAAAATTGTAGGCATGTGTCTCTTGTGTGTTAACCTCATAGCTGTCTGGCTAACTTCATATGCTTTGAGGGTGTGCCTACTTTGTTCTTAATTACGGTGACTGCTTTCTGCAATAGGTCCTAGTAATCTCAAGTGGTCCCATGCATCCTTCGTGATCGCCCATGCCTACTTACGAACCTGATCACAGCCAGCAATTCTAATGGAACCGATCCAGTCCTTAAGTCTTGGTAAGTTTTTCATTTCAACCTCTTTCATAAAGAGAGTACAGTGGCTGTGTTTAGACTACTCATGGTCATAGCCCAAAGCAGTGCTTCTTGTACAGCTGTCCACAGACTCCTACCAATCCGGGTCCGATTCAGAGATCTTCCACCAAAGACGCGTCCTCGGTTGAACCCAAAGCTAAGATGAAACTTTGCAGAGTGATATGGATTATGCTTCTCGAAGAGGGAAGTAAGCACTAGGATTGAAGTGTAGGAGAAGTTTATGGCAGTGGGAAAAGAGTGTGAGGCTAGGTAAATTTTTGAGTTCCTATGTACGGGAGGGTGAAGATGAGATAGAGGAAGCGGGCTTTCTGCGAGGTACCAGGATAACATTGGGAAACAACGAACAGTATGGAAAGTCAGCCATTTCTTCCTAATTTGTTTTTCTTTGCAAAACATGCCACAAGGTTTTATTGAAAATCTCTAGTTGATGCAAACAGAGAAAACATTCACTTGTCTTCCAGATGTCATTTGTGACTCGCATGATATATTGTTGCCCATCTGATGCACCCATTTAGTAGTTGTTGAGCATGTCGTTTTGTTGAAAACGTTCTGGAAGGTAGAGTGCAACACACTACATCTGAACACCAAGTGAATGCTTTTTTTAATTTTCGTGCACACTATGGTTCTAAGTAAAGTTAACCATGTTGAATTAACCTGAGACTGGAAGACAGAAAAAAACATCAAAACATTAACCCCTGTCTCAGTTTAATTCAACATGGTTAATGTTCACCAGCTCCACACCACACTTACAATATTTTCTCTTAAATAAAGTGTTTAGGGTATCAAAGGGAGGATTGTAAACATTTGCAAACAAAAGATTTTGAGTATTTCTTTATCGGCTGATGTTAAGCGCATTGAGGCCATGCCATCTTTTCTCATGTTGCTGACATCTAAATTGTTTTGGGTTGTGTGTGTGTGTGTGTGCGTGTTGGGGGGGGGGGGGGGCAGGGGGACTGCAGTTTGGTGATAAATATGAGACAAACTACAAAAAACCCTAAATACTGCCATCTGTCGGAAATTGCACAAAAGAGCTCCCCACACTCAAACATACGCCAGACTTGTGGTTCAATTTTATAGCCCATAGCGGAAAGCACAAAAGAAACTCGTATTACCAGCCTACTGCGCATAACAATTGAGGTGGAGAAAGAATTTTTAACATTTCAAAATTAAATTATTTATCGTCTGAGGTAAAGGTAGGGGTACTGAAGACCACGAGTTATAGGAGGGGCTGATGATGGAATAGGGCATCTCCAAAAGGTTAAGCAAACTAAAAGAAGACTGGAAGAATAGTGGGAAGGGCTGAAGGTTCCCATTGAAGCAAAAAAGTTCAAAAACCAAGGAGGAAGTTTAGTTACTCTTGGGGCAGAGTTCCTTAAGGGTTTGCTCAAATCAAAGTGTCATGCCCCAATTCATCCATTCATCCAGAATTAAAAAATTGTCGCACCAAGTATCTTTACATTTAAATTTCACACAGTGCCGCCTTGCTGGTTTCCAGAAGGCTGCCTTCCATTTCCAGCAGTTTTCTTCTGAGACCAGCAAACGCTCTGGGTAGCACACACCAAATGATAATGACAACCGTTACTCTAGGGACAACAGTACACTGCCGTCATGGGATGATGGCCACTGCAATAAAAAAGGCAGAGCTTGCCACATGGTCTGAAATGGTTCTCACTTTATTTGCATGGTGCATAATGCTCAAAGTGCTACACATGAGTGGCACTTCACTGCATTACCTTGTGGACCAAAAAATGGTGTAGTAGGGCTTAGAGCATCGTAAAGTTCATTTTTACCTGAAGGCACCAAATATGTGGCCATATATCAGTGTTAACAAAATTCAGTTTCTTGTTTAGGTATTTTGGGCTATGTAGTGATCACCATGTCAGCAAATATAGTGGAACAGATTTTTTATAGACAGCGCGTAAACACAATGTGGAAAATAAGTGCATATACGCTTAGTTGAGCAATCGGCCGTGACTTGCATAGCACGTGGTTTGCTTGTTCAGGGGGTTTGTGGTTTTTATGAGTGAAGCCAGCGTAGACAATCTCATCATCGGGAAAGGGGCAGTTGTGATTGTCAAGGCGCAGCTTGCGAAAAACTCGTTTACAGTAGATCCTTCAACGATATCAACACGACGTGAGTGGTTGAGTGTCAGGGCTGTGAATCCCCCAATGTTATGCACCTCAGAGTGATGTGGGAATAGATGAACTGAACGTGTTTTTATATCCTTTAGGGCCATGACCTTAGCTATTCATCCACTGCACAACGTCTCTTGGGCAGCTGGATTAAACTGAATTTTGTTTGTAGGATCCTAGTTCTCTTTGGGAAATAGTTGTATTCATCAAATGTGGATATGTTAATCCACACGGCTGTCCCCTTGCACTCTTTGTGAGGTATCCAAGTAGGATATCTTAGAATATTGACTGCAGCCTTTGTCATATAATTTCCTATTTTGTCTTATAAGTACTGTCTTGACTGGCACATACAGCATCAAACAAAAATGTCACGATTTTCAATGGTTTTATATTATTAGAGCAGGAGTTACAAAGAAAAGATTTTTGCAGCTATCTAGTAAAATAATTACAGGTATCTGGCAAACTAATACAAAGCACTTAAGTTAGCAAAAACATAAGTACATAAAAGCATAAAAACATAACTGTAAGAACATAAGCAAGATATATTTTTGTGCGACTTTCATGTAGAGCCTTTTTTTCAGTATAGCCTATCAAAAAACTGCCGCTTCTCGTGCCAAAGGCAATGAGTAATTAAAACTTCTGATATATCTGTGGTAGTATTTTGTTGTAGAAAGGTAGTTAAGTTTTAAAGAAATATTTGTTTATGCTAACATCACCTTAGGAATGACGAAATACATAGTATGTGTAGAAATTCAGCATGAAGAATAATTCATACTTTTTCACTGAAATAAATGCAAAATAGTGAAGAGCTACAAAGCAAAGGGGCTGCACATAATTTTCTTGAACTAGGCCTTTTTAAGTCTTAATCTTGCACTGCACACGGCCTGCACCACGCCGTTCATAATATAGCAAATGGTACAAAATTTGGACTTTAACAAAAGTTTTATGCAATGCTTCTCTTTCCCCTCTTCTACCCCTTACAAAAGTAAAATCCTTTGCATTGCCACATCCAGTGCAATTGATGGTTTACAATACAATTTCCTACAGAGGCAATCCCAATTGTCTCTTCTTAAATGTGTTTTGTACAATTTGTCTTTTTAATTAATACAATAATATCCTCCCACACTTGTAAACAATTATTGCCTTTTCCACATGTCTCGCAATTTTAGAGTACAATTGAGACAAGTGTGTCTTGTCGTTCGTTGCTCTACGGTCTAGAATCATGTGTAACGTTAAGTAACCCGCCTGCTTGATAACTGTCTTGCGTGGTAATATTGCTTGAAATCAAGGCTGAAAACTTTGCCTCAGTTGTCTGGAACTTGTGTGCTGTTTCCCTGAGCCTTGCAGATACCTTTCTGAAAGCAACCAGCACCAGTGTGTCAACAAAGTAATTGGAAATTGCACACTATCATGGATCACTTCTTAAAATTTTTATTTGAATATATAGAGGGTGTCTCTAAGCAGTATTCAGGCATAACAAATTATCGGTTGAGGGCTATTAAACTTTTTACTGTCTTTTGGTGGTGCATTTATAATGCTCAGATTTGGTGAGGGTAGGTTTTAGAGAAAAATGTAGGCTGAAAAATTCTTAAGCACTGAATCAAAACATTTCTGGTTAATGCCTGCTTTAAGATGGCACAACATAAAGCAAAGACGTGAGTCTTTTAGATAAACACCCAAATGCAAATCTAGCAGATCCAGTGTGGGGCACCATCTTTGAGTGGCAGTTCCAGCCAGGTGATTCTAACCTTTTCCTTGTACCTTGGCAAAATATGTTTTAGATTGGCTGAAATCTGCACCCTTGAAATTTGAATATAATTAAAGCCCCCCCCCCTCTTAAGACAACTCTGAAAACCTTCATTGTGCCAGTTCAGTGGATTCTTTATACAAATTTTGTTATGCTGCTGAGCACGTACCTTCCACACTATTTCGCGCAACCATATTTATTTCTCTCGGCATGAACAAGTAGGGTAGGTCATCGGCAAGGTGCAATGATAGTGTGAGGTTGGGTTCGTATAGATAAGCTCCCACGGGAGCAGAATTGTGCATTCATCCATCTTGAAATTCAAGGTTACGCAGGAAATCCACTCTTCCCGAGTGCAGGAGCCATACTTCGAAGAATGTGGCTGGTGCTTTGAGCTCATTCTTTTTATTATCATTTTAACGACCATGTCACACTTGATTGTGCACTTGCAAAAAGCATTTCGCCAAAGTACTATTTAGAAAATCAGCAGGCAACACGGCATACAAAGAAACTTTGAAGTAGGGATATTTTTAGTCGACAATTTACTTAGGAATGGACGGAATATAGCCAGGTGGGGTGTCGTGTGACATGCTTTCGGTCCGGGTGACATGTTTTGGGTACCGGGGATGTATCGCAGTGAAAAGGCAGAGATCTGTCGAAGGATGGGAGGTACGAAATAGTTCTATATTTTCAATTTTTGTACCAAAAAGCAGGCTTTTGACTTTCTGCATATTTTTGCCTCTGAAAACATATGCTATGGTAAAATGCCTATCTAAATTTAATTATTCCAACCCGAAATTTGTTTCATGGCCCATTTAAAGTGGTTTATCTGTTACATAGTAACGAAGGAGTTAATAGAGCCAACTCTATTTACTGCTTCTTTGAAGTGAAGTAAAGTGGAAAAAATTCAATTCCACCACTCAGCTGATGCAGAACTACAATAATGACTGCTTATTTCTAAAACATGTGGCTATCTTGGTTGTGCTTTCCTAGTGTGTCCTAATACATACAATGCCTTGTAGAAGGAGCTGCTTTTTGGGAGAGACCAGCTGCCCATTGAAAGCCACGGAGGACATCTGGATTGGGTGCTGTTTCTGCACCTATGTCACCAGAGATCAGCATGGGATCGTGAACCACCTGGTTGCCCATGGTGATGAGCAACACAAGTACCAGCATCCTCCCATGTCATCTGCCTCTAGATCCAAAGTGCTCAGCAACACTCAAAAGCAGAAAAGTGATCGGTTATTCAAGTGCAAGCTGTGCCCTCAAGTATTCCTTCGGAGATCCTTGCTGCTCGGCCATATTCAAGCACACACTGTTGAAGCCATTTAAGTGCAAACTGTGCCCCCGTTCCTTCTTTTATAATTCTGAACTAACAAGGCATAATCTAACGCACTGTGGTTAAATGCCATTTAAGTGCATGTTCTGCCCCCAAGCTTTTTTTCGGAATGGTGATCTGATTGACCATAATCGAGCACACAGCGGCGAAAAGCCCTTTAAGTGCAAGCTGTGCCCCCAAGCCTTTGCTGAGAATTCCAATTTAAGAAGTCACAATCGAACACACACTGGTGAAAAGCCATTTAAGTGCAAGGTGTGCCCCCAAGCCTTTTCTCATAAGTGCCATCTGATTGCCCATAATCGAACACACTCGGGTGAAAAGCCATTTCAGTGCAAGCTCTGCCCCCAAGCCTTTTCTCTAAATTCCAATCTGACTGCCCATAATCGAACACACTCGGGTGAAAAGCCTTTTAAGTGCAAGCTGTGCCCCCAAGCCTTTGCTCAGAATTCCAATTTAAGAAGTCACAATCGAACACACACTGGTGAAAAGCCATTTCAGTGCAAGGTGTGCCCCCAAGCCTTTTCTCATAAGTGCCATCTGATTGCCCATAATCGAACACACTCAGGTGAAAAGCCATTTCAGTGCAAGCTCTGCACCCAAGCTTTTGCTCAGTATTCAAGCTTAAGACAGCACAATCGAACACACACTGGTGAAAAGCCATTTCAGTGCAAGGTGTGCCCCCAAGCCTTTTCTCATAAGTGCCATCTGATTGCCCATAATCGAACACACTCGGGTGAAAAGCCATTTCGGTGCAAGCTCTGCCCCCAAGCCTTTTCTCTAAATTCCAATCTGACTGCCCATAATCGAACACACTCGGGTGAAAAGCCTTTTAAGTGCAAGCTGTGCCCCCAAGCCTTTGCTCAGAATTCCAATTTAAGAAGTCACAATCGAACACACACTGGTGAAAAGCCATTTCAGTGCAAGGTGTGCCCCCAAGCCTTTTCTCATAAGTGCCATCTGATTGCCCATAATCGAACACACTCAGGTGAAAAGCCATTTCAGTGCAAGCTCTGCACCCAAGCTTTTGCTCAGTATTCAAGCTTAAGACAGCACAATCGAACACACACTGGTGAAAAGCCATTTAAGTGCACATTGTGCCCCAAAGTCTTTTCTCAGAAAAGCAGTCTTATCCGCCATAATCGAACACACTGGTGAAAAGCAATTTAAGTGCAAGGTTTGCCCCCGAGCCTTTTCGGATAATTGTGATCTGATTGCCCATAATCGAACACACTCAGGTGAAAAGCCATTTAAGTGCAAGCTGTGTTCCAAGCCTTCGCTCAGAATTCCAACTTAAGAAGGCACATTCAAACACACACTGGTGAAAAGCCATTTAAGTGCAAGCTCTGCCCCCAAGCATTTTCTGATAATTGCAATTTGATCACCCATAATCGAACACACTCAGGTGAAAAGCCATTTCAGTGCAAGCTGTGCCCCCAAACCTTTGCTCAGCATTCCCATTTAAAAAGGCACAATCGAACACACTCTGGTGAAAAGCCATTTTAGTGCAAGCTCTGCCCCCAAGCCTTTTCTCAGAATCTCGGGTTGATCTGCCATAGTCAAACACACTCAGGTGAAAAGCCATTTCAGTGCAAGCTGTGCCCCGAGGCCTTTGCTCATTGTTCCAGTTTAAGAAGGCACAATCGAACACACTGGTGAAAAGCCATTTTAGTGCAAGCTCTGCCCCCAAGCCTTTTCTCAGAATTTCGGGTTGATCTGCCATAGTCAAACACACTCAGGTGAAAAGCCATTTCAGTGCAAGCTGTGACCCCAAGCCTTTGCTCATTGTTCCAGTTTAAGAAGGCGCAATCGAACACACTGGTGAAAAGCCATTTAAGTGCAAGCTTCCATAGCTTGCACTTAATTCTGAGGATTCTCAGAATTAAGAATTAATTTTCAGAATTCTAAAAAGTCTTCGGGCATCCGAAGACTTCTCAGAATTCTCTTCTAACAAGGCATAATCTAACACACTCTGGTGAAGAGCCATCTAAGTGCAAGCTATGCTCCTAAGCCTTTTCTCGGAATTTCAATCTGATCCGCCATAATTGAACAAACCTGGGTGAAAAGTCATTTAACTGCTAGCTGTGCACCCAAGCCTTTGCTCAAAGTAGTAATCTGTTAAAACAATTGAGCACACGTGTAAGAAGCCATAGAAATGAATTGACCCCAAGCCTTTGTTCAGAATTCTCATCTCAGAAGCAATAATCAAACACTTGAAAAGCCATTTAAATGCAAGCTGTGCCCCAAGCCTTTTCTTAGATTTGTGATTTGCTCGTACACAATCGAGCATACGGGTGAAACGCCATACAAGTGTAAGCTGTGTCCCCAAGCCTTGGCTCGTTGCGATCTGATCCACCATAAACAAACAGCTGTGAAAGCCTTATAGTGCGGGCTATGTGGAATTGCAATTTTATGAACCACACCAAAACACTCACAGGTGAAAAGATGTACAAGTACAAGCTTTGTCCCCCAACCTTTCCTTTGAATTCTGGCCCACCATATTCAAATGCACACAGGCCAGAAGCCTTATGAGATAACGCTGTTTTCCGAAGCCTTACTTCAGAATTGAAATCTGATCAACCATAGGTGAAAGGATATACAAGTGCGAACTTTGCTCTGAATTTTTGTATCCCTGTGTAACTGAGTGCGCACGGGCGAGAATGACATGTTTTGATCCGTCACAATCAAGTACACTTACACTGAAATGTTTATGAAGCAAGTTTAGCCTTCCGTGCAGCCTTTCCGTGCTTTGTAACATGTAGAATCATTTAACTCATGCAGAGATATACACCGTTTCATTTGAAAGATATAAATGCATGCAGTGCCCCAAAATGACAGGAATGCAGTGCCTTATAAATGAAAGCAATTTTCCTGTACATTTTTTAATGCCTCTGCCTCGTGGGGCATGCGTTAAAGCACTGGGTGACGAACTTAATCGCAATTTCATTAATCGGGCGGCAGGGAGTGGGCTTTTGCACTGTCTAATTCTCAGAACGGTTAGTTGTATTTCTAGTATTGTCACCACATTGATTGTGCAGGCATAACCAAACTCTTGCATTGCCCACAAGCCTTTCATCTGAATGCTACTGTTTGTAATCGCACAAATGTGTTGAGGGGTAGGGAGTAACTCCTCGCCAGAAGTTATCAAGGGGTTGGTCAATGTAATGACAAACTTTTAACTTGTTAGTAGATTGAATTAGGGCAGTGTAACTCATTTGAGGTGTAGCCTAATATGTTTGTTTCTACTCCTGTCTACATAAAAGATAGGCACTCGCAGAAAATAAATCTGTGACCAAAGTTTTGTGTGATTATGTAAAGAAAAAGGTCTGTCAGTCTCAATTCTTATACTGGCTTTTTTCTGCTTTTGGAATTCTGGTACTGTAGTGTGGAGTAGTGTTTTATGTTTTAATTTTTACATCCTGTAGCTTGCCTTACCTTTTTAGCAATCAACTCAGCCAAGAACCGATTTTTAAGTGTGTGTGCACTGCAGTGGTTCGTGCTCCCGATTTGAACCCTGCTATACTCGGGGACAACTTTTCTTGGCAATGCAGTCAAGGGCACTGGCATACATGCCCTCTTCAATTTTCAGCACTGATGGAAGTTGTGCGTGAGCTCTCTTTTCTAAAAGGCCAAGAAAAGCTGTCCCCCTTCTATAGTATTCCCACACCACCAAGCAGGTTTTACAATTGACAGCGTGTCAATGTTTTGCACTCCATAATGTGTGTTCAACGCTGGTTTGAAGAGAGGTGTAGAGAACTGAACTGTCTTGAACTCGCTCAGATTCGAAGTGTTCTTGCTCCCTTCCCTCGACTGGCATCTTCATAGTCATGTATTTATACGACACCTGCTCCGAGATATCGCTCTTGTGTTTAGGTAATCACAATTTTCCGTTGCTCTGTATTCTTGTTCTTGATGGCTGTTTATGTGTATCTGTATGTCGGAATTCTCAGAGCGTAGGTGTCATGTCTACCAGACGATGTCTTTTGTACTAGCACTTCTATTCTTTTGCTTGGTTTACTGCATCCTGTGTATTGCTGGTCGATGTGTGCTTAGTTTTGCATGGTGTAATCTGTTTGTATAGATCTTCATTGTGGATTTTTTTTCTTACTCTCGTTTGTTTCTAATAAAATTCTGCAGATGATAAACTTGAAATCAGAGTTTGGTATCAGTGTTCCTCACAAATAAAGCTAGACATTTGGAGCTTCCAGTGTTATAGTGCTGTTTTCCAGCCATTGCATATTGTCACGGGTGGTGACCAAAATAAAAGGAAATAAACGGGAAGAAATAAACGTTTAATGTGGCGAACTTGTGCCAAAAAAATAAGGGAGAACAAAGATAATAACAGAGCGTCGCGGGCGTCGAAGTCGGCGTTAGCAGCACAGTCGAACGCTGGAGCGAAACTGACTCGACAAGGTCGCGGACGGCCTCTTATCTAGAGTTAGTCACTATCTCGAAGATTCGGCGGAGAAGGTTCGAGCGTAGCGCGCTCGGGGCGAGAATGAACAAGCACTTTCTAGAACAACAAAAACAAGGATGAACGATAGTTATGTCCGCAGCAAGAATGAACGAGAACGTTCTAGAAGTCCGTGACCCTGCGCGCGGCATTATCCCCCCCTTTAAAAAGTGCATCGTCCCGATGCAGCACAAAACGAAGAACAACAAACAGAAACAAATCCAAAACAAAAAGGCAGCAGAATCGCGAGTCGCGGTTCACAGTTCACAGTTCACCCGTCGACGAGAGTGGAAAGTTCTATCGTTCGTAATACGGCTTCAGCCGGACGACGTGCACCACCTCGGGTCGCGGCTGACGTCTTGCAGATGGGCGCGTTCCGTCGGGTAGAACTTCGTAGTTCAGATCGCCGAGGCGTCGGATGATCTTGTAGGGTCCGAAATAGCGTTTCAGGAGTTTTTCGCTGAGACCGCGACGACGTATTGGTGTCCAAACCCATACCCGGTCTCCGGGTTGAAAGTGGACGTCCCGGCGACGAAGGTTATACCGGCGTGCGTCGACTCGCTGTTGGTCTTGAATCTTGACTCTTGCCAGTTGACGAGCTTCCTCCGCGCGCTGGGAGATGAGTTGAGCGTCGTCGTTGACATCACCGGTTGGCACGTGAGGCAGCATGGCGTCGAGCGTCGTGGTAACCGTTCGGCCGTGTACCAGTTGGAACGGTGTCATTCCCGTGGTTTCTTGAACCGCTGTGTTGTACGCAAACGTGACGTACGGCAGCACCTCGTCCCATGTCTTGTGCTCTACGTCGACGTACATGGAAATCATGTCGGCGATGGTTTTGTTGAGTCTCTCCGTCAGCCCGTTGGTCTGCGGGTGGTACGCCGTGGTGCGACGATGGCTGGTGTGGCTGAGACGAAGGACCTCTTGCGTCAGCTGGGCCATGAAGGATGACCCGCGATCTGTAATCAGTACTTCAGGTGCGCCGTGTCGAAGGAGAATGGACTCGACGAAAAATTTGGCAACTTCCACGGCTGTTCCCGATGGCAGGGCTTTCGTCTCGGCGTATCGTGTAAGATAATCGGTCGCGACGATAATCCACCGATTTCCTTGCGTCGATGTTGGGAACGGCCCAAGCAAATCCATTCCAACTTGCTGGAAAGGCCTAGTCGGAGCAGGTATCGGCTGCAGGAGTCCTGCTGGCTTCGTCGGAGGCCTCTTACGTCGTTGGCACTCATGGCACGACCTTGTGTACAGATGGACTGTTTTTGGGAGTCTCGGCCAGTAGTACTTGTCACGAATCCGGGCGAGCGTCCGGCTGTAGCCAAGGTGTCCAGCCGTCGGGTCGTCGTGGCATGCTTGAAAGATTTCTTCTCGCAGGCTGGCCGGAACAACCAGCAGCCAAGCAGGGTTGCTCGTTCCGAAGTTCTTCTTGAAGAGCACACCTCGCCGCAGAACGAAGCTTGACAAGTCTCGGGCCAAGACTCGCGGAACTGAACTTCCTTGGCCTTCGAGGTGTTCGATCACGGCGCGAAGTTCCGGGTCGTCTCGTTGAAGTGCTCCCATGTCGGCATCTGTCACTGCACCGAGAAAACGGGCGTCGTCGTCGTCGTTAGTGCTTTCGGGAGGAGATTCGACTGGGGCCCTAGACAAACAGTCGGCGTCGTTATGCTTGCGGCCAGACTTATGCACAATGGCCACGTCGAATTCTTGCAGTCGCAGACTCCAGCGAGCGAGGCGTCCTGACGGGTCCTTGAGGTTGGCGAGCCAACAGAGAGCGTGGTGGTCCGTGACAACGCGAAACGGGATCCCGTACAGGTACGGGCGGAACTTGGTTAACGCCCAGATGACAGCGAGACATTCTTTGTCGGTCGTCGAGTAGTTTTTCTCTGCCTTAGACAGTGCCCGGCTTGCGTAAGCGATCACCCTCTCTGCTCCGTCTTGTCTTTGGACGAGTACCGCGCCGAGTCCGGCGTTGCTGGCGTCCGTGTGAACCTCCGTTTCCGCTGATGGATCGAAGTGTCCGAGGATAGGGGGCGACTGGAGTCTTTCCCTCAGTTCGTTGAACGCTTGTTCTTGCTCCTCCCCCCACTGGAAGTTCACGTCGTCCTTGGTCAGATGCGTGAGCGGTGCAGAAATCTTGGCAAAATCGCGAACAAAACGCCTGTAGTAAGCGCACAGTCCAAGAAATCTTCTTACGGCTTTCTTGTCTGATGGCTTGGGGAATTCTGCAACAGCAGATGTCTTGGAAGGATCAGGGCTTACACCCTGAGCACTCACGACATGGCCGAGGAATTTGAGCTCGCCGTAAGCGAACCGACATTTTGACGGCTTTAGTGTCAGTCCAGCATTCTGGATAGCCTGTAGTACGGCTCGCAAACGTCTCAGGTGCTCGTCGAAGTCGCTTGCGAATACCACGACGTCGTCGAGATAGACGAGGCAGCTTTGCCATTTCAAGCCGGAAAGAACGGTGTCCATTACGCGCTGGAACGTCGCCGGTGCTGTGCACAGTCCGAACGGCATCACTTTAAATTCGTACAGTCCGTCCGGCGTGACGAAGGCAGTCTTCTCACGATCCCGTTCGTCGACCTCGATCTGCCAGTACCCACTCTTCAGGTCCATCGACGAAAAGTATCGGGCATGGCGCAGCCGGTCCAGAGTGTCGTCGATGCGTGGCAGCGGGTAGACGTCCTTTTTCGTTACGGCGTTTAGTCGGCGATAGTCCACGCAGAACCGAAGAGTCCCGTCTTTCTTTTTCACCAGGACTACCGGTGAAGCCCACGGGCTGCTTGAGGGCTGGACAATGTCGTCATCGACGCCACCGCCCGGAACTGGTTCGAGAACCACGAAGCTTCGATCACTTCCTGGGAGCAACTCAAGGCTGAGTTGCGAAGAACGTTCACGAACAAACAACGAAGAGAACGCGCGGAAGAGCTTCTTCAAGCGAGGATTCAAGGCCCTAACGAGAGCGTCGTTAGCTTCGTGGAAGATGTTCTGCGACTGAGCAACCGCGCCGATCCCGAAGCATCCCAAGCAAAGAAGCTCAGAGTCTTGATGCGTGGCGTCAAGGAAAACATTTTCGGTGGTCTTGTGCGGAGCCCGCCTACCACCGTCGAAGGCTTCATGACGGAGGCCACCAACATCGAACGTGCCCTTCAAGCACGAGCCACCCACTATCACCGAGTTCCCGGCGTCGGGTCCTTCTCGCCTTCCGGCTGCAACACCACGGACATCCGCGAGATGATCCGAGACGTCGTCCGGGAAGAGATCAAGAAACTTCTACCTGCCGCCGCAAGCCCAGCTTCGCCCTCAATCGCCGAGATTGTCAGGGAAGAAGTCCAGCAGGCGCTGCAGCCTGAGGTTCTCGTCAGCACCGCTCCGGAACCACCGACGTTGAGTTACGCCGCAGTGGCCCGACGGCCACCGCCTCCTCGTCGCACCTATGTCACGCCGCCCCGACGTCAGTCTCCTGCGCCGCAGCACGACCGACGCCACGACGACCAGGTCCAGTACGCCTGCCCGGAGCCTCGCGCACCCCGCAAGACCGACGTGTGGCGAACGCCCGATCGACGCCCCCTGTGCTTCCACTGCGGGGAAGCGGACCACACCTACCGCCGATGCCCATACCGACGACTCGGGCTTCGCGGGTTCCACCCGAACGACCCGCGACCCCGTTATGGTGAACGCCCTCGGGAGATCGACGAGTACCTGCGACGACCTCAGTCCCCTGAGCCTACGTCCCGCCGAGAGTTCCGGTCGCCGTCGCCACGACGTCCAGCTTCGCCGATGCACCGACCCCGACGTGAAAGCCTGTCGCCCCTCGCTCCTCGCCGGGGAAACTAGGCGCGGCAACCCCTGGAGGTGGAGTTGCCGAAGACGACCGACGCCAAGATCCTCCACGAACGTCGGAGGGCCCCCACTCGAACGCTACCAGAGATCGAAACCACGCCCCTGCAACGGTGTCCAATAACCTAAACGTCGTCATCGACGGCCACGACGCATCAGCGCTCGTGGACACTGGGGCAGACTACTCAGTCTTGAGTGGGAGGCTCTCCCGCCGCCTTCGGAAAGTCACGACGCCGTGGGATGGACCTCAGATACGAACCGCCGGAGGGCACCTCATCACACCGGTCGGGAGATGCACTGCTCGCGTCGAGATCCACGGTGAGACGTGCCCTGTCAAGTTCGTCGTTCTGCCAGACTGTTCGAGGGACGTTATCCTCGGAATGGACTTTCTCTGCGAGTATGGCGCCGTCATCGACCTCGGAGCAAACCGGCTGACGCTTCGAAAACCTGCTCCACCACAGGAGGACCCCAAAATGACGTCATCCGCGGTACGAGTCCTCGCAAACCACGTGAACCTACCGCCGCAGTCAAGTGCTTTCGTACCCGTCGGGGTCGATGAGACTCTCTGTGGCGACGTTTTGCTCGAAGGAAGCCTCCAGTTGCTTCTAGGAAGAGGGATCGGCATCGCAAGAGGCGTCACGGAGCTCCAAGACGGACGCACTACTGTCGCACTCGTAACGAACTTCCGACAGGAGGCCCAGCACCTTACGAGGGGCACCGCCGTGGGCCACGCCGAGGAACTCCCGGACGCAGCCGCAATCGCCGGAATATCAGAAGCCCTCTCTTCGTGGCCACCTAAGACAACGCCGCCTTCGCAGTTTGACATCGACCCAACCCTGCCTACCCCGCACCTCCACCAAAATGTCACGGGTGGTGACCAAAATAAAAGGAAATAAACGGGAAGAAATAAACGTTTAATGTGGCGAACTT